GCCGCCGCCGCCTCCACCACCTCCATCACCGCCGCCGCCACCACCTCCGACATCCCCGCCGCCACCACCTCCAACACCGCCGCCGCCAGCCGCCACCGCTGCCCCCTCCACCACCACCCTCGCCACCACCGCAGCCCATTTGTGAGGATCCCTCGCTCTGCCCGCGTGGACTGCTCCTCGACTTCTCCGCCGCCCCAGAGACGGTCAACAACCTGGGCGGCTACCCGGGCGGTGATGACCTCAACGGGGGAGTTGCCTGTGACCCACAGGCCGACAGCCTGAGCCCCGACCCCTTCTGCCAGTGCGGCTGTGGCTGCCGCTGCACCAACGGCGACTCGGTCGCCCCACCCGGCACGCCGGAGGAGCTGCGGTACAGCGGCGTCGGTAGACTCTACGACGGCACGTGCGCTGCACCATCAGTGGTGGACGTGGTCGTCACCAATATCACCGAGTACACACCATGGACATCTCGCGCCAACGGACACCAGTATGGAAGGATTTTTGCACAGATCAGCCTCCTGCAGGACACCGCCACCACCTTTCGGTACAGCTTCAAGAAGCACGACTCGCCGCAGGAGGACGCGGACGTGGACTACCCGTTCGAGTTTTGCTTCTTCGACCTCGACACCGGGCCCTCGAACACCATGCAGGAGACGCTGCGCGCGTGCGGTGTCGACGGGTACTTCAGCCACGGCAGGGTCCCCGCCCGGCAAAGCATCCGGCCCTACCTGTGCCCAAACATCGACACCGCCGCCTTCATGGACGTCTCTTTGGAGGGGGGTTGCGTGACCGCAACGGGGCTGCGCGAGGGACGCGGCAGCGACAACCCGCAGGAGTTCTACGAGGTGTTTATGAATACCGCCGACGACCGCCGCTTTGGTGGCGCCAGCGGCAGCTGCGACGACTACGACACCTGCCCGGCCGACGCGTACGGCAACATGGTCTGCGGGTCGTTCCCCCAGCGTGACGGCGTCTGGCCGGGGACGGACGGGGTCGACTGCGGCTTTGGCATCTCCGGCTACGGCCGCCCACCCGGCCAGAGGGCTGACATTCTCAACTGCCGCCTGCGGCCAGGTACGCTCGGCGCCGGCGTCTACCCGCGCTCCAATGGCTTCGACAAGGCGGGAAGCCCCTTCCGCTGGACGATGCCCAAATTCGTATGCATGGAGTACTCGGCCGGCACATCCTCCTTCGACGTCACCTACTCCGTCACGGCGGATACCAACGGCAAGTTCGGGAGGAACTTCCTTTTCGCCGGGGCGGGCGTGCCGGTCGAGTGCGTCGGTGGGGACCCGCCGCCCTCTCCTCCACCGCCGCCACCACCATCGCCACCGCCGCCTCCACCTCCATCGCCGCCTCCACCGCCACCTCCGCCTCCATCGCCACCGAGATCGAGGGTTGGCGACGGCGCACCCCGGTCAATAGGGAATCCGACTGAAGCTTTGCATTTTTGCAGTTGTAAATTGAGCACAAAGAGGAAAGAGAGAGGACTTACTTTGGTGGGATTCGGGAGAGCGTCACAGCACGACACAGCACTACCGACAGTCACACGCACCCGCCTTCGCAGTCCGCACGGCGGTCACACAAGATCTCTAAGAGCACAAGAGAGCGCGCGAGCGGCGCGCGCAGGCGTCGATGTCCGGAGGGAGGGAGGGAGGGAGGGAGGGAGAGAGGGAGAGAGAGAGAGAGAGAGAGAGAGAGAGAGAGAGAGAGAGACTGAGAGAGAGAGAGAGAGAGAGAGTCAAAGAGAGCGCCGTGTAGTGCGACGGTGTATCATTCGACTTTATGCCACCGTTGCATATCCGGATATGCAACGGTGGCATAAAGTCGAATGATACACCGTCGCAAAACTGCATTCTGCATCTCCTGGGTCGGTGTTCTTGTTGAACGCCCCCTCTTCATGCCTCTCTAGGTCTCTTCGTACTTGGACGTTGGAGTAGCCCTATCTTATATTGGTAAACTCGACTCGTCTCCTCCGTACGAACTTGACACACGCCGACAAATAGCGGACCGGAGTCGGTGTAAGTTTTCGGGCGCGCGGAGGAGAAGCGCGCGCCGTGGCCAGGCCGTGGCCAACATTGCGGGCCGGCGGGCGCGGCCAGGAATTACCTGCTCTTCAGGTCCTGGATGGCCTGCGACGCGACCTGGCCGACCTGCGATGGTTTGGGGATGTAGTGGTACTTGCCTTGCGCAGCCGCGGCGATCTCCTTGGCGAGGCCGGTCGAGACGAACTTGTTCTCCGAGTCGAGCATCAGCAGCTTGAAGCCGGCCAGCGTGCCTATTCACCACCACCGCGCAGTGGTGTGAGAAGCGACGCTCACAGTTGGCTGCTGACATTTGCGACGTGCCGAGCATCTTCGCCGTATTGATCACCTCGTCCTTGAGAGCCGTCTTGTCCATCGGCTCCTATGCGAGGTCCGTGGGCACGTCACGGACGCGTCCTGAGGAGTGTTGTTCCGCCAGCCTTGGGCGCCTCCAGCTCCTCCCCAACAGAAGTGGCGAGCGGTACGTTGGCCCGCCCGTCTGAGATGCAAACCACGAGCACCTCGCCCACGTCGCCCGACTTTTGGCACGTCAGGCCAGTCTGCGCCGCCATATTGAGCGCGTGCGCGAGCGGTGAGCCACCGCCGCACGGCATGCGCTCGAGCCGGTTCTTGGCCATCGCTATGGAGCGCGTGGGCGGCAACACGACCTGCGCAAAATCGCCCTGGAACGTGATGAGAGCGATCTTGTCGCGCGACTGGTACGCCTCGGAGAGCAGCCCGATGGCCGCCCCCTTGGCGGCGTTCATCCGGTTGAGCGCCATCGAGCCTGTCAGCAGCGCCGTGGCGTGTAAAAGACAGGTGGGCGGTGCGCCACCGAGCCCTCGCAAGGCTGGAAGCGTGTAACAGGGCTGGACACAGAGGAGCGCGAGGGGAGGAGAAAACATCAAGCGAGGCGGGGGGGGGGGGGGGGGTGTTGCCGCATTGGCAGTGCGGCGTCGTGCCTGACGCGTCGACGACGAACATGACGAGCGAGCCCGCCTTGCGCGCCATTTTCTTGGCACGCACGTCGGAGCCCTCAATGTAGACGTTCTTGAGCTTGGAGCGGTCGCCGCTCTCCTCGGCCTGCGCGTTTGCCTTCTCGCGACGCTTCTTTTGGTACGGCGCCGCAGTGCGCATCGTCGCGTCGACCGCGAGCTTGCGCACGCGGCCGCGCGGCAAGATGGGCTTGATGTACCGGCCGCGCTCCTCGGAGAAAATCATGCCACGCTTGCCGCCGCCGCCCTTGGAGGCGGAGGACGCGAACTTCATCACGTCCGGGTCGAGTGCGACGCCCTCCACGTCAAACATGAACTCCTCGGGCACCGCCGGCGCCTGGTCCTCCTGCTCCTCGGGCTGCTCCTCCTCCTCCTGCTCCTGCTCCTGCTCCTGCGGATCCTCATCCTCCTGGTCCATCGGCGGCGGCGGCGGCGGCGGCGCCTGCATCAGGTCGTCCTCCGGCGGCGCCGAGATCTGGGTGCCCCGAGGGGCGATGCAGAGGCGCACGCCCATCTGCAAGTCGGTGGAGGAGACACGCTCCTCCCCCGCTAGGGCTGCGTTGGCGCGCGCCACCTCGATGGCGAAGAGCTCGCCGCGGTGGCCCTGCACGCCGGCGCGCACCGCCTCCTCGCAGAGGTACCTGCGGGGCGGAGGACACGCGTCGTTCCTTCCGGACAGCAAAGAGGCGGACCTGCTGTGCGCGGTTCGCGCGGCCTCCTTCGGCTGCGCTCTCGGCTCTCTCTGATGGCCTCTCGGCCACAGCTCACTTTTGCTGCGCGCGCTCGAGCTTCATCGACTTGAGGTACTCGCGCGCAAAGATGATGGAGGTCCTCATGGACTCGGTCGTCTCGTCGAAACGCTGCACCACCTCGGGCGGGTTGCGAGAAAACTCGAGCGCGCGGTTGACAGCCTCAAGTCGGTCGTCGCCGGTGACGGGCTCGGCATCAGCCGAGAGGCAGACTCCGATCCGGTCCATCAGGTGCTGGCGGGAGGGAGGACAGGAGCGGTGGGTGGACGAGGGGTGCTGGCGCAGTGGGAGGCTAGTGGGCTGAGGTCAGATCTTCTCGAAGGTGTCTGTCTGTCTGTCTGTGTCTGTCCCCCCAGGAACGGCCGCGTAGTCTTTTGGGGCTGGGGGGGGTTCCTTTTGGGAGGGGGGGGGGGTGCGCCCCGGTTTTTGTAGGCACAGGGGGGGAGGGTTTTTCCCGCCTTGGGGGGGGGGGCGGGAAAGCGACGCTTAAGGGGGGGGGGGGGGGGGTT